GGTGGCATAGCCCTCAGAATCACAGCAATTCAAACCACCACAGCACAACAGACAGATGAGTGGCGGTTGTGTGGTCGCTGTTAAACATGAATCTCCTTGCGCTACAGTCCTTAAGTCCGGCTCAAAGGTGGGATTTCCATCCTCAGATGTCGTGTCAGTCAAGAGGCGGCAGCGCAGCAGGGGCGACAGGGTTGTAATGAGACGCTTTGGCTGCGCTTGTGGGTCTCTAAGTTGGTGGAGCCAGTAGAGAGCACAAAATGGTCTCACTGACCCACAGGGATCGAGAGCTGAACGCATTCAGGTAGGAGACTTGCTGACGGAGTTCAGTGCCTCTGGACAATTAATGGTGAATCCAAAAGAGCTGTAGCACTTGCCTGAGTGATGGCCAGCCTGTGGGGACAGCTGAGCAGCACAGCCGGCCTGCTGGAAGGGCTAAGAAGGAACTGAGAGTTGTCTTATTGGAAAGTGTCCTGATTGAGGAACTGCATCTTGAGTTGTTTCTGCTACTTCCAAGTTGATCTTGCATTACTTCCCTAATAAACTACAGAACTGTGAGTGTCATCTGTGGCAAAGTCAACAAATTGAAGTCAGCAGCAAAGTCGAGAGAGTGTCATGGGGAGGGCAGCTGGTGTCAGAACTGCTAAAAGGTTGGGGAATGGAGGAAGGAATGTCTGATCTCCACCTCTAGAGGAATCCAATTTGGGCAGATGCTGATTCTCACCTCTTCCTCTGAAGTTAGAGGACTTCAGATGCCTATAGATTTCAAAAACACATCAATTTAAAGCCATGAATTCCCCTTGGAGTACTCTGGTTGTATTACACATAGTGGAGGGTCAGGGAAAAAGGGGAAGACCCCCAACGAGATGGAATGGCACAGTGGCAGCAGCAATGGGCTGAAGCATAGCAACAGTTAAGAAGCTGGTGCAGGACTGGGAAGTATTTCATTCTGCTGTGCATGAGGTTGCTATGAGTCGGTACTGACTGACGACAAGTAACAACAACAACATCCCATGTATTTTGATGTAATTTTATTGTCATTCAGTTAAAAAATACTCCTTGTGATTCCCCCCCTTATAATCCAAGCATAATTTAGAAATGTATAATTTCCAAATATTGATAGATTTCATTTTGTTGTTGGTTTCTAATTTAATTTTGCCATCAGAGAACATATTTTATTTGATTTAAATCCTTTTAAATTTAGTACCCACAATGAGATGGATTTACTGTCCTCAACAAGATGAATCTTAAATATATTTCCCTGAATAAGATGGATTAAGAAAGTATCTGCAACAATGCGCTCACAGCAATGAATGGCAAGGAGACTGGGTAGTGTTTGGTTCTGCTGGCACCTCTTTGCTGATTTGATGGCACCTAATAACAACAGCTGCTCGTAGGAAACCCTATACAGGGTCGCTATGGGTCAAAATTGACTCAATGGCAATTAACAACAACAACAATAACAAGAAGTTTGTCAATACTTGGTTTATGGTCTAACATATGACCTACCCTGGGAAATCTTCCACGTGCTCTTGAGAAGAACTGTGTCTTCTATTCTTGGGTTCAATGTTCTTGATATTTTCTTTAAAATGCAGGACTTTGTCCCTAGTAAACTTGGAGTCCAGGTGTAGCACTGTGGGTTAATGCACTGGACTGCAATGTCACTTTGAACTGCAAAGTTGGTGGTTCAAGCTCGGAAACCCTATACAGGGTTGCTATGGGTCGGAACTGACTTTACGGCACTTAACAACAGCAACAACAAAGTTGTAACTTAACACAGAAGAATCACCAAGTAAATGACAGTCACAGCTAAATATGACAAAGTACTCACTAATGTACAAGCCAGCTCTCCAAAGATGATCCAACATCTCATTTTCAGAAAGGGGAACAAAGGAGAAGTTGAAAGATGGACTTAGAATGACTGAGAAAAATGTCGTGATATTTTTCAAAGTTTGTGAAATTTTAAAGGCGAATGGTTATAGATATCAGGGTTCCTACTTCATTTGGTCTGGAAAAGAGAGTTTATTACAAAACTACACATTTTTGTATAGTTTTACTATAGAAAATATACTTATTATACTTTTGTCATGATTACTTACTATTCAGTGTAATGGCAATACCTGAATCTAATTGATAGACAACGGTGCCTTTTTCCTCTCCTACAATTTCCGGTACCTTTTCATTCCCTGTAGGTTGATAGAAATATTCCGGTTGAGGTGGAACCCACTCTGAAACAAGACATTAAAAAAAGGTGCACAAAATAAAAAATACTAATAAAGGCACTCTATTGGGACTGATGTAACACAATCAAAATAATAATTATCCAAATGACTACATTGGTTGAGTCAAACTAAACCCTCATCCTGACTTTCTAGTCTGTTTATAAATTACAATTATGTCTTGCTTCTTTCCTTAAAGACTATAAGGATATTTTAAACAAAAAATACACACAATGAAATAATCAACTTTAAACAGAAAACTGAAATATGAGAGCAGGAGAAAGATGACTTAAATATACACAGACAAAAAAGTTAATGTTGTTGCAACAATAGTGCTTTAAAATTTGACCCTGAGCATCCTTACAAAACAAGTAAACAAGATCAGTCATATACTTTTTTTTTTTTTTTTTTTTTTAACTATAAAAGGAATAAGGAGCTCTGGTAGTGTAGTGGTTACGAATCGGGCTGTGAACTGCAAGGTCGGCAGTTTGAAACTACCAGCTGTTCCACGGGAGAAAGATGAGGCTTTCTGCTCCTGTAAAGATTTACAGCCTCAGAAACCCTGTACAGGGTCGCTGTGAGTCAGAACCGACTCCACGGCACATAACAACAACAACAATAAAAGGAATAAGTATGTCAATTATTTCAGAAGAAACAGGTTTTCTCATTAGCAGTGAATTCCAAAAGAAATTTCTCCTATGGGACTTGGGCAACTTCTCAGTATCACTCACTGTAAGTATAAGAACCACTGATGAATGTGAAGGGCAGACAAAGGTATCATTCAGTAAAAAAGAGGTTCATTTCTTTTACAGGAATGGTGAGTCAGGAGGCTTTAAAACAAAAAAACCAAGGTGCTTGCTAAGTTTCCTTGAAATCTTAAAAATTGCTTTCTTATTCTCATGGACTCCAAACTATCTATCATCAGGTTGGGTGACTGTTGCCCTGAGATAATCTTTAAACCTTAAACTGAAACTGTCACCTGAAGTCATCTTTAAACCAAACAATTGTTATTTTTAAGTGCCATCAAATCGCTTCCGCTGACTGTAGGGTTCAAACCGACCTTGCGGGCCAGTGCATTATCCTACAGTGCTGCACCGGGACTGTAAAACAAACAATCGTTTAGCTTAATTAGTAAAGAATGTCTGCCTCGAACACTGGGGACTCTTAAAAAAATCAAGCACATGGAACCAAAATGGACAACAGCAACTCAAAAGGTTCCATGGGAAGCTTAGGGGGCCAAGGTCACGAGCAAGACCGGCACAACTTGAAGACTAATCAGTGTCATTGAGTACCAACTGTTGAATTGGTATTGGTTTTACTGTGTATATTTTCACCCAAAGAAAATTACTTTTCTAAATATCTACTGGTTAAGTGCATTAACTTGAATCTGAAATTCCAGTTTCCTACTTACTTCCCCTCCTTGCCTATATTCTTTGTTACCCAGTTCCAAATCTCTAGCACCAGAATTGCCCCACAGGGTTTCCAAGACTGTCGTCTTTACAGAAGCAGACTGCTGCATCTTTCTTCCACGGAGCGATGGTGGGTTTGAACCTCTGACCTTTCAGTTAGCAGCCAAGGGCTTAACCACTTTGGCAGTGATTAAAATCCTATTATCTGACCAAATCAACTTGAATTTTCACCCAAAATTGTACAGGATAGGGACAGAGGATCTTAGGACTCTGCAGTCTGTACCAACTCAACATGCCCCACATATTTCCAAACACTCTAGCAGCAGTTCTGTGTTCATTGAGCCCCTCCCTATGCCTCCAGCTTCAGCTCTTGTCTTTCATGCTCTATGCTCCCTGCTGCTCCCAATACACCATGTTGTGTGTTCTCTAATCAGAATACTTTTCCTTGACCTTCCTTAATTGCACCAGTTCTAATTCAACATTTAGATCTCAGATTACATGCCAGCTCCTCTTGGAAACCCTCTCAGATCTTCCAGGTTGAGTATGTGTTCCCAGAGAGACCAAACTATGCAATTGCCTGGTTAGATCTTTACTTTCCTTACAAGTCTCTGTGCTCTGGGTGACTCTTGTTGATCACTATATATCTGTAGCACCAAGCACTACACTTGTTGTTGTTGTTAAGTGCTGTCGAGTTGGTTCTGACCCATAGCAACCCTGCCTAGGCTTTCTGAGGAGCAGCTGGTAAGCTTGAACCGCTGACGTTGCGGTTCAAGCTGACTTTGCAGTCCAGCGCATTGACCCACAGTGCTGCAACAGTCCAGCACTGCACTTAGCATATGGTTAAAACGCGTTAGAAATGCGGAGTGAACGACCACTCTTAAAACTGGCATTAGAAAACAGGAAGCATCCAGTTGTTTATTCAGCACAGTCTAAAGCAGAGACATGTTGGTTAGTGGGCATAAGTATTCCAGTAATTAGAAAAGTCCTTACTTTTCAATGAAACTCATTCTTGTAAATGCTTCAGAAAATAAATGTTCAAGACTGTGCTTATACCAAGCAAGGGCTTGTTGATATAACAGGTAATGTCATAAGGGTCCACTAGTTCCATAATAAACTCAGATTACAATAAAAACAATTCTAATCACCAAAGCAATGTGTACCATTCTGACTTTCAATGGTGGCATTGGTAGATGTGCCCAGGCCAAACAGTGGCTTTGGACACAGGGTCATTGGCTCAAAAAGAGTGCTGAATTTTGGCTGCACGTGCTTAAAATTGCAGAGAGTGATGCTGAATTTAGGGTGTAGATATGGATTCTCTGGTCACTGAGCGCATCCAGGTCAACAGAGTCCCCAAGATGTGCAACCAAACTTACGGAGCTCACGGTCAGATCAGCCCCTGGATGAGCTCCCCTTCCCTGCCACATTGTAAATCTAAGTTTTAACCAAATTGATCTATACCAAGGCTGATAAAAATAGAACATAAAATTCATCCAAGTATTTAATAATGAGAGGAGAACAATCTAGAAATCAAGCAAACATTTACAAATTATGGTCTCTAGGAAATATCCTCACATTCCAATACACTAGGTTACACCTTGGTCTCTTCTGATTTTTTGAGTGTCCTGCCTTGTACTTTACCATGCAGGACTTGTAGCTCTAAGGTTTTGTGATAGAGGCAGAAAAGAACACCACACGTAAGTCGCATTACCAATATGATGAACATTTTCTTTGATGACTTCACATTCTATTGGCCATCTTGGAGCCAGCAGCGGCCTGCTGCTAGAAAAGAGTGCAAAGAGATCTCGGGGTTCTCGAAGGCGTGGGTTTACATCACCCAACTCATCATAAAGAAGCTGTCTGCTCTTAAGAAGTGGCGAATTCCGTATAAGTGAATCTGTCCAAGGGAAGAGGGATGAGTGAAAACATTTCCTTTTTCTTCTTGACAACTTCACTGCTCAACTGTAACAATTTAGTACATACACTAAGCACTGTATTCTAATACTAGCAGAAATGTGCAATTCTAGAACAGGGTTCTCCTCCAAAGGAGGTTTAGCCCAGGATGATAAGTTCGAAAATATAAAATGGGAAATTTCTGTACACTCTATTAAACATTTAAACGTAAAGATTTTAAATAAATAACGTTGTTGTTAAGTGCTGTGAAGTCCGTTCTGACTCATAGCGACCCTGTGTAGGGTTGCCAAGGAGCAGTTGGTGGGTTTGAATCTGACATTCATTGCACTTAGTAAGTAGTCCAGTATTTATCCTATAGTGCCACACCAGGACTCCTTAGAATAAGACAGGGGAAGCTTTTTTGTTTTTCTAGTTAATAGATCCAAGATATTTCAAAAGTCTGTCACAAATTAATACAAAGTTACTTGCTGTGTTTTATTATTTTTGTTATGAGATGCAAGAATGAGAACTTTAAGATCTCAGAAAAAGGTGCATGAAATGTTACGAATGATACAGAAACAATCTATAAACTGAGCTTCAGGTCAGTAATGTAACAATGATGTAGCTCTTCCTGTAAGCAACCTGAAGTTATCTGGCAAAATGATTCACTACTATCTGACCCAGAAAACCTCACAAAATCATGCAAACCAAGAGGTTCAAATCTCCAGGTCCACTTTAAGAACATCCATGAAACTGTCCAGGCCTTTAAGTATCTGAAAGATGTCACTGTGTAAAACAATGTGTACCATTCCGATGTTATCATCATGGCATTGGTAGGTGTGCCCGGGCCAAACAGTAGGGTTGGACGCAGAGTCGGTGGCCCAAAAAGACTGCTGAATTTTGGCTGCACATGCTTAAAAATGCAGAGAGCGATGCTGAACTTAGGGTGTAGATGTGGATTCTCTGGTCACTGAGCACATCCAGGTCAACGGAGTCCCCAAGACACACCGATGCACTTACAGAACTCATGGTTGGGTCAACCCCTACGCAAGCTTCCCCTGCCACATTGAGATGAACCTCACTGAAAAGAAACAAATTATTCCTAAACCAGAAGAGGAGATTGCACAGAAGAAAAAGAAAGCCCAGAAGAATTTGAAGAAACAAAAAGTTATGGCTCGGGAGTAAATTAAGCTTAAAATAAGATGCAAATGAAAGTAAACACAGAAAAAAAAATCTAACAATGCAAAGGACAGAGAGACACAAAACAAGGTTGGAAAGGGAAGGAGCAGCGGAAAGAGTAGGGGCAGATATGAGGGAAGGAAGGAAAGAAAGAATAAGGAAAAGGGGAAGGAAGGAAACAAGATGGCGAAGGAAAGGCTCAGAGCCTGTCAGTGGAACACAGGAAGTAGGGGGAAGACAATTCCATGAGAGGGTTTGGATTTCCTGTCAGGGAGGAAATATGTCTGCTCATGGCTTCTAGCTGCCTGTGCACAGTTGAAGAAAAGCAGGTAGGCCCTAGGAAGGAGGAGGAGGCAGCTTGGTTTGTCTCACGGCTCCATGTCTTTCTTTTTTCGGCCTTCTCCCTATTCCTTTCTACTCCCAGTCTGGACCCCGTCATTTCTATCTAAATCTGCTCCCCAAAGTTTAATGGATCGTTTTTTTAAAAAAATCATATTTGAAATGATGGTAAAGTTGTTCAATCCCATTCAAACTTAAAGAATGTAAATCAAAACTACAAGGAGGTTCTAGTTTTTCACCTGAAAGGCAGGAAAAACACAGATCCATTTTCCTAGGTCAATGAGTAAATTGTTGCTACCTTTCTGGTTTTAAATCCAAAGTAAACAGGCCCTTTGTTTTAACTATCAATCAAGCCAACAGATGCCTGTATAAAACGCTGTTTACAGCTCAAAAGAACCAACAATGGAAACCACCACCAATCAACCAACAAACCCAAGTCACTGCCATTGAGTCAATTCCAACTCCTAGTGATCTGAAAGGACACGGGAGAACTGCTCCTTAGGATTTCAAGACTGTTCATCTTCACCAAAACAGACTGTCTCATCATCTGTCAGCAGCAGAGCGGCTCATAGGCTTGAACACCAGCTGCCCCATACGTACTCCACTATACCACCAGGGATCCTTAGCTCATCAATCAGAAAACAAAGGAAACAAAACCCCCACAAAATCCTCACCATCCAGTCCATTTGGACTCACCGTGGCCCTGTGTAGGGTTTCCAAGGCTGTAAATTTTTATGGAGTACAAAGTCTCATCTTTCTCCTATAGAGTGGCTAGGGGGTTTAAACTGCTGACCTTGTGGTTAGCAGTCCAGTGCTTAACCTACAGTGCCACCAACACTCCTTAATCCATCAATTGGTTGTTGTTAAGTGTTGTCAAGTTGGTTTCTACGCATAGTGACCCTGTATAAGGTTACCAGTGCTTATCCTACAGCGCCACACCAAGACTTAATGTTTTTGTTGTAGAGTTAAAATAATTAAAATACATTAAGTGCCATTGACTTAGTTCTAGCTCACAGGGATCCTGTGGAGCATTTCTGAGGAGTGACTGGTAGGTTTGAACTGCTGACCTGTGCTTTGCAGTTCAGTGCTGATCCTACAGCACCAGATCAGGAGTCAATAATCTAGTGTATTTTCTTTTTCACCTCTCTAGTAAAAACTTAAGAAATGCTTTGCCACTAAGATAAAAGAAAAACATTGTCCTCACTCCAATGATTAAAGAAACGAAAAAAACAGAAGTCAAATTATCAATTATTCTCTGGATAAACAAACTGTGGTACATACACACAATGGAATACTACACTACCTTGAAGAATAACAAGGAAGTTGTAAACCACAGCATAACACAGATGAATCTTGAGGACATTACGTTGATTGAAATTAGTCACAAAAGGACAAATAATGCAAAAGACCATTACTGTAACAATGGTGGGGTTGGGGTGGGGGGTTTAGGGAGAGATGGAGGGAGGCGAGGGTAGAGCACAGGGTACAGGCAGACACATCATAGTTTGGGTGTTGGGGAGGGCAATACAAGGAGTGGGAGGGGTGGAAAAACAAGGTAGATAGACAGGGGAACACTGAGACAGGTTTGCATGTCTTAAGTGGGACAGAGATAAATAGTGATGTGTGCTCAACCTTGGAACAACAGGGCTCTGTTACAGGGATCGAGACATATAGTCTGAAGAAGGGAAATAATACTAAAATGCTTGACTGCCCAATGAATATTAGTTTCCCTTGCCTACTATTGTAAAATAGACACCTGAGTGGGATAGAAAGGGATGTCAGGAAACATGATTACAGAAAGCTTATAAGCCCCTGTTCAGCCTGTAATTGATTGGAATACCTAAAAGGTGTTCTAGAATTTGCCCAGTGAAATAGGCCTCTTGCAGAGCCTTTGTAGTGTATAGGACCTTAGGTGGAATTCGGAGCCCCATCCAGGACCTTCTAAGGTGGGACATTCCCACTAGAAAGGACAAGCAGACCAACCTGGAACAGCAAGAGTAAGCCCCCACCCCCCCAAAAAAAATGGCAGTACGACAGGCTACTACAAGAGTAAGCAACCTGTTTGCTGGGAAGCCATCAAGGCAAGCAATCAAGTTCCTTCAGGACAAATCCCCCCTCTAAGACGAAAACTCAGAGGGAACACAAGAGCAGACATATAAACTTGCCACATTGATGACCACGCTGGTCTACTGGTGAGTGGAAAAGGGGGAAAGGCAGCAATGAAGAAATGGGCTGAGTTCAACCACATTCCATAGATTCCCGATGACTTGGAGATGAGAGAGAGAACAGGAAGGGCTGGTTGGTCCAAAATGTGGTGAGACCTGGGGACACTTGAGCCCATGGACAAGGACATAGCCACAGAGGACTAGAGCTGAGAGTGAAGCATCCAGCTGATATGAAGTGAGGGGAGATGCACAAGAACACCCAAACTTGCAGATAGTACCCACTTGACCTAGCTTTGATGACTTGATAATCAGAAATAGACTGTTGTTATTGTTATTGTTGCTAGGTGCCATTGTGTCGATACCGACTGATAAAGACCTTATGCACAGCAGAACGAAACACTGCCCGATCCTGTGCCACCTCACTATCGTTGCCACACTTGAGTCCATAGATGCTGCACTTGGCCAATCCATCTCACTGGGGGTCTTCCTCTTTTTCTCTGTCCCTCCACCTTACCAAACATGATATCCTTCTCCAGTGACTGGTCCCTCCTGACAATATGTCCGAAGTATGAGA